CAACAACAATAACAACAATCATTTTACCCGAACGCTCAGTGTTCTCACCAGTGCCAGGGTTTTCATGCGACGCGAGACAATACCCCCACTTCGTGGGGGGGCAGTTCAAGCTCTACCAAATATCCAAACGACTCTTCGCGACCACCCAAACCCAGCTTCCCGCCCTATGACGTTGGGACACTTCACTTCGTGGCGTGCGGACGACCGTGGCTACTACACTGGCGTGGGGTACACACCCACAGAACTTGGTCACTTATTCGGGGCGCGCGTGTGCCCAGCATCCTGCAATTGTGACATACAATACATGACACAGACAGACAGAGAGAGAGACAGAGAGCAGACAGAGAGAGAGACAGAGAGAGCGGAGTTGGTCACATTTTTGGGGCAAGTTCCTGAGATCGTCGTGTTTTTTGTTGGTCTTGCGCGCGCGAATGTCCACTTTACTTTTTTTTGCAAGGGAGTATTGAAATTTGATTATGTTAGAACAAGAAAAAGTAGCTCGCGCGAGCTCATGTAACATAAATGTTGACAAACCATTGGTTTCGTGGGAGTCGGACAGCGCGCGCGGGATGAAATTTGGACATTTTTTTTTGAAAAACCATTGGGTTTTTGATGTTTTTATGTTGAAATCGCTACGAAACCTAAGGTTCTGGAAGGATTTCGTCTTGCGCGCGCGAATGTCCACTTTACCTTATTTTTTGCAAGGGATTATTGAAATTTGATTATGTTAGAACAAGAAAAAGTAGCTCGCGCGAGCTCATGTAACATAAATGTTGAAAAACCATTGGTTTTGTGGGATTCGGACAGCGCGCGCGGAAGGACATTTTGACAATTTTTTCTTAAAAAACCATTGGGTTTTTGATGTTTTTATGTTAAAATCGTTACGAAACCTAAGGTTTTGGAAGGATTTCGTCTTGCGCGCACGAATGTCCACTTTACCTTATTTTTTGCAAGGGATTCTTGCAATTTGATCAAGTAAGAACAAGAATTTTCATTTTATAGTGTTTTTTGCAAGGGAAAACGGATTACAACAAAACAACCGGATCCGGACACAATCCACTTTTCTGAAGCTTTCGCTAGAAAATGAAGGAAATGAGGCTGCGGCCTAGGTTTTGGAGGGGGGTCGCGCACCAGGGGTCTCAACAATAATATTTCTTTAGAAGTAATAATGTTCAACAACAACAACAACAACAACAACAACAACAACAACAACAACAACAATAACAACAACACCAACGACAACAACAACAACAACAGCAGCAACAACAACAACAACAATAAGACCATGACCAAGAACGAGAACAATAGCAATAAGAAAAATGACCATGTGTCTAAGTTTGCTCGCTCCCAACTGCTCGCGTGCCATTCAACACGCATATCCCAAACCCTCGGTCACCCGCCCTCTTCGTATTCGATCGTACCCACTTCGCGCAGTCCTGAAAGCAGAGGAAAAGAGAACAGATGGAAGTGGGAGAAAGAAGGATGGAGCACGAGAGAACCTAGCAGGAGAGGGACTCGGAGCAGAAAACATGTGGTAGAACCAGAAGGGCAGATCGGGCGGGCAGACCCGAGCGGGCGGGTCGGGAAGGCAGGCCCTGGCGGCCAGGTCGAGCAGGCGAGTTGCTGAAGCATGAATCCTGCAGGAGTCGCGAAGAAGTCTCGAGCGATAGCGCGATTCCCAAGTAAATCGTGAGAAAAGCCAGGGCGAGAGCGTGATTCCTGAGTGTCGAGGGCGCTGTGTCTCAAAAAAATTGCAGGGAGTCCCACGCGAGAGCGTGATTTTGGAATACATTGCAGGGAAATATCTGGCGGGAGCCTTTGTTGTTGTAAGTCCGAAGGCCAGACGCGCATTTTGACCACGAAAACTCCCCCTGTTACAAAACAGGGTGCGAGCCCCGAGGGGAGCAATTCAATTGAAAAAACACAATGTGCACCAGTGGGGGGGCTCAACAACAATCATTTTCAGACTGTTCGCTCTTCCCTGCTCGCGTGCCATAAAACATGTATATCCCAAGTCCTCGATACCCGCCCCTTTCGTCTCCGCTCGTACCCCCGAACGGCCCACGAGGCGCTCAAGAGCGCCCAAGAGGGCCCCAAGACGGCCCCAAGAGAGGCCCATGAGGGGGAACAAGAATCGACAGTTCGAGCCTTCCGCCCCACGAGGCCCTCAGAGGCCCCCAAGAGAGCCCAAAAGGCCCCACGAGGCCCCCAAGAGGCCGAAAAAGAGGCACCCAACGACCCCCAAGAGACCTCTAAACTACCTCCAGGAGGCCCCCGAAGAGGCCTCCCACGATATCCAAACGAACATCCAAGAGGCCTCACCCACAACCCAGGCACCGTGGCGGGACTGGCCGAAGGCCACTATACATCCGCAGGTCCCTTTTTTGTTCGGGCCACCAGGCTGCAGGGCGAAGTTGCTGCTCCCTGCACCAGTTGCAGTTCCAAGTCTCAAATGTTACAGTCCTGCTTCCCGTCTCCTACTGTAAATTGTTGAACTCCGCGCGAGGAGGGGGAGCCCCAAACCAGTAATTTACCACACCGGGATCGCATTCTCTGAATTCATGGGGGGCGTGGGACACGTGCAAATACATGAGATTCACGCCCCCGAGATCATGACCCCTTTGTAAATTATGCAAGATGCGTCCCCGAGGCATCAAACCCTGATAAGTTATACAATGTTCGCGTCCCCGAAGCCATGTCATTTATAATTTGCACAATAGTCGCGTCCCCGAGGCCAGAAACCCTCGCAAGTTACGCCATATGCGCACTGTCGATGCCAAGAATGCTCCAAAGCGCCCGAAGATGGCTCCAAGACGGCCCAAGAGGGCCCCAAGAGGCCCCAAGAGCGCTCCAAGAGGCCTCCCGAGATTGCCCCAAGAGGCCAAAATCGTCGATGCTGCGAAGGTTTTTGAAGGAGTTTGGCCTTCTCGCATGTTCGACTTTCCGACGCTCCAAGACGGCTCAAGAAGCTCCCAAGACCACCCCAAGACAGCCCAAGACACATCCAAGAGGGCCCCAAGACGGCCCAAGAGGGCTCCAGGATGGCCCAAGAAGCGGTCCGAGAAGCCCCGAGAAGCCCCCAGGAGGCCCCAAGAGGCCGCCAAGAGGCCCCAAGAGGCCCCAAGAGGCGCCCAAGACTCGCCCAAGGGGCCTCCAAGAGGCCTCCAAGAGGCCCGACGGATCCCCCCCGAGGCCCCAAGAGACCCCCAAAAGGCGCCCAAACCGCTTCCAAGAGGCCCCCGAGAGGCTCCCCACGACACCCCAACACATATACAAGAGGCCTCAGACCCACAACCCAGGCACGGTGGCGGGATGGGCTGAAGGCCACTAGAATAACGCAAACGTTTCAATATGCGCTGCTGGTTCCCATCCGCACCCGCATGATGTTCCCGAATGCGCCAAGGCAGTGCCGAGACGCACCGACGCTACTCAGATATATCCCATGATGATGGAAGGGGCCGGCGGCAAGGGGGGAAGCCCTTACGGATATCTACGCATATATGTACATGCATGCATACATACATACATCGATGGGGGTGCGTGTGTATGTATATATGCATATGGGTGTGTATGCTTCTATGTATATAAGTATGGTTGACTGTGTGAATATATGTCTGTATGTGTATGTATGTACGTATACACGCATGTACGTACGTATGTATGTGTGTACGTATGTATGTATGTATGTATGTATGTATGTATGTATGGATGGATGGATGGATGGATGTGTATGTATGTATGTGTATGTATGTGTGAATGTGTATGTATGTATGTATGTATGTATGTATGTATGTATGTGTGTATGTATGTATGTATGTATGTGTGTATGTATGTATGTATGTATTCATGTGTGTATGTATGTATGTATGTATGTATGGGTATGCATGTTGTTTTGTGTGTATGCATGTATGTGTGACTGTATGTACGTGTGTATGTATGTGATGTATGCATGGATGGGTGTATGGATGTGTATGTGTATGTGCGTGCATGTATGAATGTGTGCATGCACGCATGTGTCCATGGTGTATGCATGCATGTATGTGTGTGTGGTTGCATGCATATATGCGTGAATGGATGTATGCCTGTGAATGTGTTTGTATGCATGTGTGTGCATGTGTGTATGCATGTATGTAGTATGTGTGTGCATGTATGTGTGCTTTTACGTGTCCATGCATGATGTATGTATGCATGTATGCGTATATGTATGTATACGTGGAAGCATGTATGGATGTACGTATGTATGTAGATGTGTATCGTACGTATGCATGTGGGGTGCATGTATGTATGTATGTATGTACGTATGTATGTTTATATGTATGCGTAAATGCATGTTTGTGTATGTATATATGGGATGTAGATGAACCGAGATGTATGTATGGAGCTATATATATACACATATAAATAGATAGATATATAGAGAAATATAGATAGATAGATAGATATATTGATAGATAGATAGATAGATAGATAGATAGATAGATAGATAGATGTGTGCATCCCTCCTCCACATTCTCCTATTTCTCCACATACGAACGGTAAGAGAGACGATGGCAAGGGGCAGCGTCTGGGTCATCAACAGCATCACTTGTAATGTCGTCGCCTGTATGAAAACTGAAGCGGCTTCACGTCCAAAACGCGAAAACGCGGCCAAGGCCCAGGCCTTTACCGAGGCTCCAGTCGGAGGAGCTGGAGAGGCTGACTGAAGTCCGACCCTATGACGGTATAGCTCGAGAGGGGGCCGGAACAACCTCCGAGTGAGAGGGGAAGAGCCAAGGCCGAGGAGCAAGGAGGCAGCAGCGCCCGTGAAGGAGGGGAGGATAAGGAAGAGGGGAGGGGGGGAGAGGAGGGGAAGAGGAAAACCGAAGGGAGGAAGAAGAAGAGGGGAGGAGGGGAGGAGGGGGGTAATGAGGAGGGGGAGGAAAGAGGGAGGGAAAGGGAGAGAGAAGAGGACGACGACGACGAGGAGACGACGACGACGACGACGACGACAAAGCGGCCGCCTGCTTAGTGACGTCTGCCACGGAGTCGGCCACCTTGCCGACCACGCCGTCCATGGACGGCAGCGGCGGGAAGGCCTTCGGGCGCTCGCCCGCAGGCAGGGGGGGGGCGGGATCACACCGCGCTCGGGGGCCCCCGGGCCAGCTGAAGCCCAGAGGAGCGCTCTGGGCCCGAACTTCTGCTCGTCGCGGACCTGGCGCTCGCACAGATCGGCCGGGCAGGCACGGGGCTGCCGTGCAACAGATGGGAAAGCTGCACGGATGGAGAGGTGGCTCCTTTCCAAAATGGGGGCGTCGTTTCACATTTCCTCGACCCGCATAACCAGATATGAGAAGCTGTGCAAGAGCTGCAAGAATGAGGCGGCCCTTTGTCAAAACCAAAATTTCGCAGGACGCCTCGTTGAACTTGCATGATCGTTCCATATGACTCGCTGGAAGGATGCAAGGCAGTTACTTCCATCTCTGGTTTTGCAAGGGGGCATGTGTGAAAGAGGAAAGGGAGTTTTTAGGGACTTGTGAAGAGGGGACTTGGAACGAGAGGGTGTGTTGCAGCAGTATCGTTGAGACATCTTGGCCTTAATCGGGTGTTCTCCTCCTCCTCCTCCTCCTCCTCCTCCTCCTCCTCCGAGTGTGATGGGAGCAAGTGAGGCCACCCATCCCCGAAGGCCTCTGAGGAGTCGGAGGGACAGCGAGGAAGAGTGGAGACTCCCAGGATTTCCAACGGGAGGGGGGGGGGACGAGGGAGGGGACCCGTGTCGTGGGAGTGTGATGGGAGCAAGTGAGGCCACCCATCCCCGAAGGCCTCTGAGGAGTCGGAGGGACAGCGAGGAAGAGTGGAGACTCCCAGGATTTCCAACGGGAGGGGGGGGGGACGAGGGAGGGGACCCGTGTCGTGGGCCATCACCCCGCGGCGGCGCGACGACGGGGATGTGGGCGACGGGGGCCTCCTGAGTGAGGAGGCAGGGCGAGCGAGCGAGCGAGCCTGCGGCAAGACTCTGGCTCCCGCGAAGGCCACCGTGGCCCAGGAGGGCCTGGGGGGAGGCGCTGCTCGGAGTCGGACGGGGGTCGGGTGCCTCGGCGAGGCTTTCTCGGAGGCCTCGGCGAGGCTTTCTCGGAGGGCCACCCCCCTCGCTCCGCCCGATGCTGCGCGCCGCGAGAGGGGGAAGGTGACGGGGGGGGGCGGCCCAAGATGGAGGATCGGGGGGCGAGCGAGGAACGCAAGTGATCAAGAAACTGGGGGGCAAGGTCGAGGACCGAGGGCAAGATCGAGGCTCGGGGAGGCGAGACGAGGGGCGAGACCCAGATCCCGCCCGGCGGGCCCGCGGGGCCTGGCGGGGCGAAGGAAGCTGCCTCCAGGGCGTAGTGGCCTCCGCGGAGCTCGCCTGGGGGCGCGCGCGGCATCGGGCGCCAGCCGCAGCGGGGCGGGTCCGCTCGGTTGCCTCCGCCCCGCAGGCCTCCTGCTCCTCCTCCTCCTCCTCCTCCTCCTCCTCCTCCTCCTCCTCCTCCTCCTCCTCCTCCCTCCCTCCTCCTCCCTCCTCCTCCTCCTCCTCCTCCTCTCCTCCTCCTCCTCCTCCTCCTCCTCCCTCCTCCTCCTCCTCCTCCTCCTCCTCCTCCTCCTCCTCCCTCCCTCCTCCTCCTCCTCCTCTCCCTCCTCCTCTCCTCCTCCTCCTCCCCCTCCTCCTCCTCCTCCCCCGCTCCCCGGCCGCCTCGGGAAGGAGCTCGGGCAGCAGTTCCCCGCCCGCCTCCCTCGCCTCTGGAGCCCTCGAAAGGTCTGCAGCTAGGAGGAGGGGGGGGGAGGGGGGGGGGGGGGGAGGAGGGGAGGGGGAAGGGGGGCGGGGCGGAGGGGGAAGGGGGGAGTGGGGAGAGGAGGAGGGGAGGGAGGGAGGAGGGGGAGAGTGGGGGTGGTAGGCGAGAGCAGTCAGTTCCATGCGGGTCGAAGGACGCGAGCGGTGACCCAAGCGGCCCCCGCGCACGGGGAGCCTCAATGGTGACCTGCATCAGAATAAGGACATCCTCGGGCGGCTGTCTCTCTCTCTCTCCGGCGCTCCCGTCGAGGCCCTCCTCTCCGCTCTCATGTGCTGGCTCTTCCCCCCGCTTCTCGAGGCCTAGCTCGGCCTCGATACGCTCGCCCAGGTCCCTCTTGGATAAGGTGCGCAGTGGGGGCTGCAATGGCAACGTCGCCGTGGCCACCAGAGGATGCAGACTGAGGGTACGTTCGCACGCCTACCATTTACCGATCACCGTAAACGAGCGACAGCAATCAACAAGGCTCGCCGGCCGCTTGTGGCAGAAACTCGCCGAATCCGTCGCACACTGCACAGTGTGTCTGCACAGAATGCACCGTCAACATGCCGCGGCTGCCACCCCGTCGCAGACAGCTCGCGATACATACGAGACTGTAGTCGACTGGGGTGTCCTCCCCCCTTGCTGCGGCAACTCATGGTCATGGGAGCCTCCCATATCATGTTGTTGGCTCTTGCGAGTCAACGTTCATCGACACTGG